ACTTGGTTGTAGTTCTGATAGCACATAAATCTTTCAGGTCCCTCATCAGCCATTTAGTACAAATTCCTAATTCCTATCAGCGTCGTTTCTAAACAAACTCAACCCCGGAGTAATTTACCCAGAGGTATAACCAGGCTGATCACCTTTCTTTTTTAAGTCAATAATATCAAGCAACTTCTCGTGTTCAAGAAGCAATCGTGGCACAGGCAGCTTGAACTGTAATCTTTGGCCAAAACACCCACCTTCTTCTGAAAGACACACTAAATAATTCTATATACATTCATTTAGTTACAAAAACTACTCATTTTAATGGGTCTTAAGGAAAATACAAGGATGCAGTCAATAAAAGTAACCTTTCCTCAATCCTGAAGCTGATTATCTGAACCCAAGGGACTGTCTCAGAAGGTTCCGGTGAATGGTTTCCTCATGTGAAAGTTTCTCAGATAACCTTAGGCACCATCCACTGAGAACCTACTGTGTGCTAGACATTTTACAGCTATAATGGCTAATTCTCACAACCACTGACTAGGTAGGCTCTATTATTCCCTTCTGATAGGGGGAGGCACAGGCTTAGGACCTGTTATGATTAGCTCAAGTTTCCAAAGCTGTTTAAGTGCCACAGCTAGGACCAAACCCCACATCTGATGGGCCTTCAGGTTTTCCTACCATATCATGCTGCTCTGAGTGTATTATTTTCTAAAACTGCTAAAGTTTCAGGAGATAAAAGCTGTTAGCTGCAGGCTTTCATTTTCTGTTTTTTTCCCCTGAAATGACATACTATATATGGAAAGATACATGTATGTGACTGAACCTTTTACAAAATATTTTGCAATCTAAAAACATCTTGAATGATCCTTGTCTAGCCTCTTACTGAGCTCACTCTGGTGGACACCGCATCAAACACTGGAGTAATTTCTGCAGTCAAGGTGCCTCCAGTCTAATGAGAGACTCCCCGCCACCAAATTTAAGGATCCTTCTTAGGATGAAAGGAAGAAACTAAAGGCTAGTGAGGCCTGAATGCCTTCCCCTAACACGGGTTACACGAGGCAGCAACGGGAGCTAATCAAGTCCTGATCCAGGAGCCTTCTGGTGGTGCCTCAGCAACTAACCCTCCTCACACTCGGCGAGGCCTGCAGGGATCTGAGCGTGTGCGTTCACCTGGCAGCCAGAACAACATGACTGATGACTTTAACCCACAAAAATCCCAACAGGCCAGTTTGTTTTTTAGAAGTTCATAAAACCACTAATAAACTGATTTCTCTTACTACTTCAGACCACTCCCACCTGAAGTTGAAAGGCTGCTAGGATGAAGCTGCAAATATTTTCAAAGAAAGGTCAGGATAAGTTAAGGGAGAATATCTGTGCTCTTTCATCATCGGGGAAGCAAAAGGTCTTGGTAACAGACCTTTTCCTGACTAGTTTCAGCAGTTTCCTTATGAGGTTCCCACCCTCAGAAATGCCCCTGGTGAATACGAAGTTTTAGCTTGTCTCGTTCATTTGGGGACAGCCAGCCTAGGCCATGCTGGGGGTGTCAAAATAGATCACGAGAAATGATTAGGTCTATTTTGTGGCAAACAGGGATGGAAGACACCTGAGTAGGTCTTAAAAGATAAACAGGAATCTTTCGTGTGTGTGTGTGTGTGTGTGTGTGTGTGTGTTTGTGCTTATGTGCGCGTGTGCAAGGGGTGGGGTGGCCAGGGACTGAATGGTGAGAACAGCACTGCAAGAGCTGCAACAGCGGGCTGCAACAGCGGGCTTGGAACTGTGCCCGCTGGTACCTGTGACTCCTTAGGAACTATTCATGTCATCACCAAATGGAACCCTTCTGTTCTTATTATCCACACACCATTATTAAACTAATTCCGGTCTAGCTTTCAATCCCTACTACTGCACTGAAACTGCTTTTGTAGTGATCACCAGTGACTTTCATGTGGCCAAACTTGGTCCAGGAGACACTTTCAGACATCATCCTATGTGACCACTCCAGTGCAACTGGTCCTTCCTTTTTTTGGTTATCGTCTCTGTGAAGTTTTCCCTCCTCCACCTCTCTGGGCCCTCCTCTCCTCTACTTGATCTCTCATGAGCTAAGAATGTCGGGGTTTATCCCAACCCTCCTTTTCTGCACCCCAGGTAATATGCATCTTGTACCCTTAACTACAACCCATATGTTCATGATTTCCAGGTGTGTATATCTAAACTGCCCTCACCTCTGAACTCATCTTCTAGACCCCACCGCTCCCTTAATACCTCTGTTCAGAAATTTCTCAGGTGTCTCAATTAACAAGTTTGAAAGGGGAAGCTGTTTCACACGCCCCCCACACACTCACTTCCGGGTCAGGGCCCACCCTGCGACTGGCATTACCCGAGTCCTTCTTGCCCTCACGTCCAGCAACCATCTTCTGCCACCTCGACCTCTTCCTACTTTCCCATCTCTGTCCCTGCTGACAGCCACACTCGGGCAGGATACCAACCTCTCGCACCTGCACATCCACAATGATAGCAGCAGCCCCTCAGTCCCCTGCACAGGGCGCTGCTCTGGTGGTCCTCAGTTCTAGCTCGGTCCTCTCCTCTGGTAGGTGCATTATAGTTAGGTGGGGGCACGTGATTTTCTTTGGAAAATGAAATAGGAGCAAAAGTGATACGTGACTTCACTTTTGTCCCTTCCTGTGCCGTGAGGTCCTGATAGTGACTACCCTATCAGCCTGGGTTCCAGAATTAGGATACAATGGCAAGGTGGACCTGCAGCATCAGTGAAAAACAAACACAGAAAGCCGTACCTTCAACCACTCCTGACTGGACAGAGATGAAATACAAATGTCTTGCCATAATGAACAAATTCCAGTGTAACTAGTTCTTGGGTACTTTCAACCTCATCTTGGGCCTGTCTTTCCCGTCCACTATATTCCACTCACACTGGCTCCCTTGCAAGTTTTGGAACATGCTAAGCTAAGGCACTTTCTATCCTTTCCTGTCATTTGCTTTGCATACCTTGTTACTTCCTAACTTTCAGATCTCAGCCTAAAAAGTATTTCCTAAACCAGGTCTTGTGGTACACACTTATAGTCCTAGCACTTGGGAAGCTGAGGCAGGAGGATCTCAACTTAGAGGTAAGCCTGGGCTACATGGTGACACCCTGTCTCAAAAAATACCCCCTCATTACTCAGAGATGTCTCCCTTAACCACACTGTCAAAATCCCTCCTTTAACCACATTATCAAAGACCCCCCAGCACAGCACCTTGATCATTGCCTGCATAGCATTGTCTGTAATTTTTCATCTCTGGGTGACTGACTCTCCATCTCCGGTGCCTAGTACTAAACCTTCCATATAGTACCCTACACAGAGTAGGCACTCAGTAAATACTGGTTAGATGAGTGAACAGATGAAAAAGACTCCAGAAGTAGGACAGAACTCTACAGACATCGTACCACAGGAGCAGGTGGTGGTGGTAATGGTGAGGGCAGGAAAGGAACTCATATTTACAGAATGCCTACAATGTCCCTAGCACTGTTCCAGGTATAGATCAGGCAACTGAAGCTCAACCCGCTCAAGTAACACATCGAGTAACAACAGTAGTTTTAACCCTGATCTATTAATCTTTCCTTCAAATCATACAGTAGGGGGAAAATAACCCTAGTACTATACTCCTTCACTAAGTACACCTCTGTTATACATGTCAATTACACATTCATACATGAATGAAGTGCGTGTGTGTGTGACTAGGGATCGAACCCAGGGCCTTCACACTGAGCTACATCTGCAGCCCCTTTTTATTTTGAGACAGAGTCTCATTAATTCCCTAACTTGCCCAGAGAGGGTTTGAACTTACAGTCTTCTTGCCTCAGTATCCCAGAGTGCTGGGCTTACAAGCCTGCACCACCATACCTGGCTTCAGATATCGCTTGTTTTCTGAGACAGATGAGGGTAGAATGATGCAGATCTAAGCCACAGACAAATCAGACATTTCATTGGAACCTTTTTCTTGAAGTCTTTCTTTTCAGAGTGTGAGTATGATTAGGAATTAAATCTGTGTTCTGAATTCTTTTTTTCTGGTACTGGGGATTGAACTTGGGACCTTGTGCTTGTGGCTGAATGTTGTGAATTCTTTCTACAGACTCGAGATTGACTAGTAGTATTAACTTATCTTCTGGCCCTATCATTAAATGCTGTTACTGCTCAGAGAACATGCAAAGCCCAACGATCACAGGAGGTCTAGCCCACAGTCCCAACTCTATCAACAAGGGCTCCAAACATCTAAAACAAATGAACAATCCGGCTTCATACTTCTGACCACCTGGGCTGCACAACTCCCAAACAGTAGGCTCACAGGATCATCACAGCAGAAGGGACCTTAAAGACCATCTGTTTAGAGCCTCTTTTAACAGGGTGAGAAACGACCACGTGGCTACAGGCCACACTCTCTTCCTGCCAACCCCTCCAGTCCAGAGCAGGTAATGGTGTAGGGCAATCAGGAGATACTGTCCAGATGGCATTCAGTTTGTAAAGCCCTAGTGCTTCTTCTCATGCTCTACCACCGAGAAAACCCTGAGCAAAAAGAACATACACAATACAAAGGAGATCAAAAAGACTTATTTTAATTTTCCATTGAACATTCTTCCAAAAGTATTTTTATCCCACATATGAATTATAAGAATAATAAAATTAGAAAAACTAGGAAGAGAGATAAATGAAGGCAATTAGTTACCCTAAACAGGAAAACAAATAAGATTGAGAACTTTATAAACATAAATTAATGAGATGATAGTCTGAGAACTACATCTGAAAGCAAACTTTATTTGTTCAGTTATTTTTAGCAATAGCATTTTATGACTCTGATACCCTGATTTTTCAAGAAGGAACATCATTTTAAAAATAACTTCACTTTAAAAATAGGCTTGTATTCATCTATAAATGTTTCTCCCTAAGCTTTGATCAGATTTCTTTTATTTTATTTGGGGAGAACATTTCTTTGTGATGGCATAAAATGCAAAATTTTAAAGATTTGTAATCCCAGCACAGAATTTTAGTGAGAAACCAATGATGGTCATCAAGTACAAGACACTAATTCCTGGCCAGCACCTGGTATTGTTTCTTGCCCAGTTTTCCCAAGGAAAACTCTTCAAATTGGACCCTCCATGGGCCATGGGATAATCCTTATATATACTTCTGAGCAAAACAAGAGCTTCTGTTTACATAGATTTTATTGTTCCTACTTTTATTCTGAAACTCAAATTTACCCCAAATCATAATCACCAAATTAACTTTGTCATGCACATTTTATGCAATCCCGCAAAGCAGTAGTATACCATCAGCCCTGCATGCAGAGCCCAGGAAAAACACGACTGGTGACAGCCATGGAACAACAAAGCTAGCTCATATTATCTGCCAACGTGTAGTTTCCATCTAAGTTCTGACAATGAAATATATGGATCTATATCGCCTCTTGATTTTCCAAAGCTGCCAAAGGGAGTTAGTTCTTCACAGCTTGGCTTTGCCTGGCTGCAGCTGAAGGTTCTGTAACTTCATTGCCAGGCCCATGTTGCCAGTGATTTTCAATTTACCTTGAAAGAAGGCCTGTGAGGAGGAAGAAAGAAAAGTGGTGGGTTCTGTCTTGAGATTGCTCACGTTCCTAGACTATCCAGCCCTGGTCACTAATGTTCTTCAAAATACGACGCAGCTTTTTGGAACACACACAGGACCAGGTTCCTCAGCTCAAAGGATTGTAAAGGCCATACCTGATGTAGACCAGGAGGAGGGGAAAGTGTCCCCAAATCGCTTCTGTTTCTTTTTCCTCCACAATGTCTTCTCCTAGAAACTGAGAATTGCTCTGCTTTTCCTGATAAAGACTGGTCCCCACAGAGGACAGGCCTCAAGGACCAGGAGCTCGTGTTACTCTCTGGCCCAGAGAGAAGAATCAGATCTCTCTGAAGGGCAGAGCCGAAATCTGTTCCCTTTAACAACACTTGGGATTAGATCACATGATGTTTGCTACATTTACCATGTAACAAAACCTCAGAAACACTTAAGAGAAACAGCAAAGTTGGGAGCACAGCAAGATTTCCCTGCCATGACAGCAATCTTTTAACTCAATTCCTGAAATAAGTAAAAGCTAGATGAGAAAAGTTTCTGGTAGTCTTAGCTTTTTACACAAGTGTATTAAGTGAGGTGCTCTGCTGTTTTTTTGTACACCTCTTGGTAAGGGTGACTAATTCCTTTTTTTTTTTTTTTTCTTCCCTCCCTGTCTGGGCAAACGAAATATTTCCTTTCGATATGGCATGAAGCCTTCTGTCTGATGACTTAAAGGTCAGGTGTCTCAGAACACAATACGTATAACATATGTCATTAAAAAATATGAACCAGCAGTACAGAAGAAACTCGACATCTTTCCCTTTTTAACTTAAAAAGGAAAATAATGTTTTATTTACTAATAAGAGAAAATACGAATCCGACCCTGTGGAGAATCCAAACATACAGATCGTTTAAGTGGCTTCTAGGTGTTCTTCATGTGTGCTTTGGGCTGGCTTTGTTTCGACCAGAGCCAAACACTGGAATTAGAATTTCCACTGCATTTAATGATTTCCAGCCAAGTCCTCTACTGAGCATAAGGGAAGGCCATTAGCACATTACCAGAAAGGTCTGCCATTTCAATCTGTGATTCCTTTGGGTGCTAACAGGTGCTGAGGGGAAAATAAGCTGTCACCTCACTCCCCACACCCCAAACAGGCAGCACACAGATGAATGGAGAGAGAGAAGGCAGCTGATGCGTGAATCTGCACACCCTGCCAAAGCAGTGCACGGTGTCTGCAGGACAGGGAGCACGGCTGGGAAGAAGGGTGACCGCCAGCTCCTGCACTGGTGGCCTCTGTCCCATCCAGGTTTCGAGAGAACCCTGTGGGTGGAAATGTCTGGGTCTATTCCATTGAAACGTATGGCCCTGACTGAAATACGTGTAGTGGCTTAGAGAAAAGATTTAACAAGGCATACACATGAGAGTCGGGTTGAGTTGTTTTATCTAATCTTGGGAATTACCAGGGAAGGACAAGAATAAGACCTGAAACAAACAAGGCCAAGGCAGCAAATTAAATTACAATGAAAAGAAAGGTCTCAGCTTCTTTTTGCCAATGGAGCACTCAGTATACCAAGCTGATAGAAAGCTCAGCACGTCCTGACTGTTCAATGTCGTACGACTAAAGAGTACAAGGAGACTCTTGACTATGTGGGGACCAGGAAGATCCACACAAGGCACCAATGAATTTTAGACAAGCATAATTTATTCCAACAACTATTTATAAAAACCTGAACACATCAGACACTGTGCTAGGCTCTAGAAACAGAAAGATCAATATGATGTGACTTGTGTTTGAGACATTCACTATTTAATGGAGAAGAGGCACATTACAACTAACATGACAAGTACTAAGCCAGCAGAGTTCAATAAATGGCTCAGACTCGGGGTCTACAGCTCTAAACAATTTGGAGGGAGTCCCAGGATAGAATACCTAAGCTAGTTTCAAAAGTCCGGAGGTTTTGTCAGGGAAGGAGAGCTCAGATAAGAACAAAGGCCAAGACACAAAACCTTGAAAGTCCGGTGTGTTCAACCCCACGCCACACCTTGACGTTACTCTTCTCCACTATGCACTGCCACCCTCTGCCTGTCTTGGGCACCCCTAAAGTCCTAGGAAACAAGGCTGCTCCTTCTTCTACCCTCCCTGACCCCCCGAGCCAGGCAGGGCACTCCGGATCTCTAGCTGCACTTACTCTTTCACACATTTGTCTCGAACCAACTGTGGGAACTATGCAGCTGGCTCCACAAACGCCTGTCGTTTATCAGGTGACGTTCTGGGGAACGCTGAGTTTTGTGGGCCTGACCACTTTGCATAGAGGGTCTGGGGCAGGAGGCGAAGTGCAAAGTGCCGAGAGACACACCTGCTAGCAGGATCGAGGCTCCGTCTTACTTACCGACTGAGGGTTCATTTTACCGGTCATCAGAGCCAGCAAGTCTGAGTCAGCCATGGTGATGGTGCAGTCGGCCTTCTTATCTACAGCACGATACACAGGAGGAAGAGGAGAGAAGGGAGAGAGTTTGGGTTCACTTATTGAGCAAGAGCCATGACTATAAGAGAATCTCACCCAGCCTGGAGCAGTGCAGGGAAACGTGCACTCACTTCATCAAATGGTAAGATGGGCAAGTTCGACATTTAACATAAGGAATACAATTAAGTAAATTAAATCCACCTCATGGGATACCATGCAGCCATTGAGGGGATGCTGTGAATCTAGACTTACCTGAAAAATGTTTACGTTACTTTGGTCAGGATATATAATGATATAAGCTAATTACATAATAAACTGTAGGTATGATCCCATTTTTGCTTAAAACAGTATTCAAGTGTCTAAGTATGGGAAAAACACCTGACAACTTAAGATACCAACATGTGACTCAGTTGACTCTTGGTGTATCTGCCTTTGCATAATCCCCTTCCCTCCTGTGTGAGCAGGAGGGCAGGTGCTGTGACTGCTTCTTGTCAAAAGAAAGTGGCAGCAGTGACAGAATGGCATTCCTGAATTGGTGCTGTACAAGCCTTCATCTTGCTGACAGACTCATTCTTGCTGTCCTGCAGTGCTGGCTCTGAACAGCCATGCACTGTGTGACCTTCCCCTGCCACGGGCCACACTTCCTGACAAGCTGGGGTGACTCTGGCACATGGCCAGTAAAACACGAGGCTGTCACTCTCACAGCCACAGGAAATACATTCTGCCAGTGGGCTGGATGAGCCCAGGCCTGAGCCCTTCCCTAGACGGGCCTCTCCATAAGGCCCAGTCCAGGCCAACACCTCGGCTGCAGCCTTGGGTGATCCCATGCAGAGGACCCTGCTGAGCTGTCCTCAGCCTCCTCACCCCTGGGAATCTGTAGGGTGATAAATGTCTGTGTTCGTTTAAGCCACTAAGTTTGTAGTAATTTGTTACTCTGTAAGAGAAAACAAATGTAGCCATCTAAATCTGTGGGCAATCAACTTTTCTGTAAAGAACTGGATGCTACACATTTTGGTCTCTATCACAACCACTCCACTCTGCCTGTGTAGTGCCAAAGCAGCCACAGACCACACACAAACACATGTGGCCGATATAACTATTTTCAAAGGAGGTGGCAGACAGAGGGACTGTCTGATAACTGTATCTAGAATACAGATAGAACTCCCACTACTCAGAAAAGCTTAGCTAACCCACTACCAGCTTGGGGAAATGGCATAGGCAGGCCTGGCAAGAAGAGGCTCTCCAAGTGGCCCAAACCATACGAAATGCTACTTAACTTCAGCAGGGTCTGTCAGTGGGAAACCAACCTCAAAACTACAATGAGATGCCACACACCTACCAGAACGAATGGCTGGAAGTTTTTAAAAGGTGGCAAAACCCAGAGCTGGTGAGGATGCCAAGCAACCTAATACTAGGCAGAGGACTGTACGGGCACTCTGGTAACGGCCTGGGAGTTCTGCAACATGAAAACTTGAGGGAAGCAGGGCCCCTCACAGTCTTGTTCACTGCTGTGCCCCGGACCCTTTAAGACAGTTTCACATATAACGAACAATCAATAAATTATTCAGTCTGTGCCTTAACAAAAGAGCCAGGGTAAGCTGCTGCAGTGTGGCATATTATTAAATAACTCAAGTTATTACTAAATACTCAAGCAAGACAAAGACAGAATGTCTTTATTACATGTCCTACAACGCAAGGATCATCCTTAAAAGGCTCAGACTCAATGGTCATGCTGCTTTGGCTGCTAACAAAAGTTTTTATTATGAGGGAAAAAAAGACCTAAAGCCTTAAAAATGAAGAGAATTTAAAGTCTAGAAAATCCTGTTCTATTGCAGATATATAACATCAAAGGAGAGAGAGGGAAAAGCTGACAAACTGAGATGCTGGTCCTGACCCTAATATTCCAAGAAAGCCTCTCGGTCACTGAAGAGAGGCTTGGGGAAGTGAAATCCGCTGCTGTGGTAGTACCAGCATTTATCGAGCTTTCGTGTCGAGCCCCTCACACACCTCATCTCATCTGCTCTTTATAACAACCTATAAAAGTCAGAGAGGTCAAATAACTTGCCTCAGACTGCACAGCAGATTCCCGTTGCCAAAGCCCATACTCCCGACTCCCATGCACATGGCTCATCTCAGTTTTAGCAGGGCTTTCGCCAATACATCCCGGGTGCTTTCCCGGTCCCCCAAGTCCTTTAGGAGGCTCAGACAAGCCTTTGTGTCCGTGCAAAATTTGCATTTAATGCATGCACTGGGAGTGAGCAATGGCTTACAGAGCACGGACAAGTGCCTTATGTTCCTTGTCATCTCATGCAATCCCCACAACATGGGTAGCGCTAACTCTCACCTATTTTCTAGACAAGACAACTGAACTCCAGGAAGGTCTATCCCCTGTCAGGGACAGAGCCCAGATCTGAAGCCAAGTTTGGGTGTCTCCAGGGGGCTCTGTTCTGTCAAGCGTACTCTGGGGCTGGGGGCCCTGAAGCTTTCTGGATCCTGTCGCCCATAAAGGACAGGGCTGAGAATTCCAGTGCTGAGAGGCAAAATGAAGGAATAATTTGTCATGTTCAACTATCCAAAGCTGGCTTCCTAGTGATATGCTATGTGAGTTGTTCCAAAGGAGAGGAGGGAAGGGCAGGACTCATGGAGAAGACACTGCGAGGCACCCAGGCAACACAAATCCACAGGTCCTTAATCTCACCGTGCATACAATCAATCATCACCAAGCTCTCAGAGGAGAAGCAAATGAGAAACACATTTACGTAAATAAGTAAATATTACTTCATTAATGGTACATAAACCTCCTAACACTATGTACATGCCAGCAATTCTCCTAAGGAGTCAGTTCAAAGTAGGGCAGGTTAGTGATGCTTTAACATAGCTAAACTTTAACAAATGGTCACTTGTTGGTGGAGGTAAAAGGAGCTGGCAATTTGCAGCGGTGGTTTTCACAGGGTTAGTCCGCATTTCAACACCACTCCCGACTGCCAATGGTGTCGGTTTCAGCAGAAACTACCCTGCTCCAGGGTATGGTCACTTCGGGTCTCGGATGGTACCTAATGTGGAGAGAGCACACGGGAGGTCTCTCCGCAGGGATCGAGACTGTTCTGAAATCATTCCACAGCCTTCCATAAGCAGATAATCTTTCCTGATGAAATAACCAACTGGCCACAAAACAGAAGGACAAGGAGAAAGTTTTTTAAATCACCTTAACATCTGTCTAGAAATTTCAGAATATAATCCTAAGTAACTATTAACCTGCAGTCGTTTAAAAACTTGGCACTACTGTAAATCCCAAAGCTCTTTCTAAAAGCTGAAAATTTAGACAAAGCTTTAGCTTTCCTTCCTTAGAGCAGCAGCTTACAGGATGCAAGGTTTTTTTCTGCCCAACACACGGGAGGGGGTGGGGGTCATCTGCTTAATTCAGGAATCTTTACAACAAAGCCACAACCTTCCCACACTACACCAGCCGGCTCCCTCACCGCTACTCAGCTTCTCCTTCTTAACCTCTCCCTGACTGCCTATTCATCAGTGTGTATTGACGCTAACTTCTCTTGCCTCCACACCCCACATCCTATTCCAAGAGCTCTGTCCACCTCTCCCCCTTATCCATCAATGCAAAGAAAGAGTCCTCCGTCCCTCCTTCCCAAGGCCAGCCCTCCTTCCACCTGTGCTCCTGGTGTCACCCTCTCCTCTGAGACTGTCCTCCGTAATGTAGCAATCCCGAGATGTGACCTCTTTCTTCTACATAGCCTCCAGGTTCCATCAGTCCCACCTCTGGTACCAGCATCTCCCTTCTAATAACTAACTGGCTGCGCCACTGCACTGCCGCCCTGAGCTGCTCACTCCGCACACAACCTCCATATACCAAATGCTTCTGCCTCTCATCTCCACCTTTCCAGTCCATCGCGTCCAATGCATTAGTCCGTCTTCGAAATACAGCTGGCTTTCACTTTTCTACTTTAAAATCTTTAACGGATTGCTTATGTATGAAATGACTTTCAAAGTTCCTCTCATGCATAGTAAGCTCTTTGAAAGCTGGTCCCACTTCATCATATTTTTAAATTATACCATGTCCTTGGCAGCAAGAGAAACCTCTGACTGAATATTTTCTACTTGACATTCATTCAGTCTGTTGTTCAAATGTGCTCAGTGCCATGTGTCAAGTACTAGGCCAGGAACTGGGAGTGCAGCAAACCTAACTCACAAAAAGCTCTGCTTCCACGGAGGTTACAATACACAGGGGAGAGATGAACAATAAGCAAACAATTTACATGGGACATGAGAAGGTGATAAATACAATTGAGAAAAATAAGGCAGAAATGACAACAGGGTATGGTAATAATAACGTGATCCTTAGAGGTGGTTAGGGAAAAGCTCGTGAGAGGTGACATTTGGGCAAAAAGCAAAAAATGTGCAACCAGCCATGAGGATACCTGGACGAAGACAATCCTAAGCAGCGAGAACAGAGAGTAGAAGCCCTCAGTCTGAGAACACAGAACACCCCACATTTAAGCAATAGCAAGGAAGCCAGCGTTGCTGCAGTCAAGTGAGCTAGGATGTAGTAAGACAGATCATGTAGTGCAGCCACAGGAACGTGGAATGAGTTGATGGCCACTGGACAGTTTGAGTAGAGGAGGTTAAAAAACTTCTGAGTTTTAAAATTATCACTCCAGCTGCTGTGTGCAGAAGACCCACAGGTGGCACAGATAGAAGCAAGGAGACTGCAAAAATAAGATAACAGCTTAGACCAGGAGCCAGCAGTAGAGGACAGGATTTGCTGGGCCAGTCTGTCAAGTGTGAGAAAAAGAGCAGCCAGCAGGACATGGGGGCAAGTTACTGAGAAGAGAGAAGACAGCAGGAGAAATGCATGCTTACAGGGAGGAGGAGGAGAAACAGTTTGGCTTTAAGATACCAATCAGGTGTGACAATCATTTGAACGTTCTCTCTAAAACTCATGTTGCAATTTCACTGCATTTGTAAAAGTATTAAAAAGGGAAGAGCTGGGTGTGGTAAAACATGCCTATAATGCCAGAACTCTGGGAGGCTAAGGCAAGAGGAGCACAAGTTCAAGCCAACCCTGGGCAACTTAGGGAGAACCTATCTCAACCAAAAAACGGGAGGAGGGCTTTAAACCCTTAAAAGGTGATTAAGCCATGAGGCTTAGTTCAGCTCCTACTTTTCTTTTTCTTTCTCTGTCTCACAAAAGCTTACCTGCCCTTCCATTACACCATGATACAATAAAACAATTGTCACAAAATGTAGCCCAGACTCCAAAACCATGAACCAAATAAACTTCTGTCCAAAATTTATTCAGTTGGTGACACTCTGTTAGAACAGCAGCAAACACCCGAGACAGGCAGCCTAGCAGTAAACCTGTTAATGAAGGCTCCGTATATTCACTTAGGTGCTCCTGCTGAGCACACAGATCCGGGAGTCATCAGAGGAGAGGTTATTTTTAAACATGAAAGTAGATGAGATCCCAAAGGATGAAATGGAACTGAGCCTTACAACTACTCCAAGCGGTTAGAACTTTGGAGATGAGAAATTGGCAAGACAGGCCAAGAAGGAGCAGCCAGGAAGTTAAGAGGAAAACCTGCAAGTGTGTCATCACGTGGGCTAGAATTAATCACTGAATTTAGCGAGGCAGTCACTGGAGACTGACAAAAACAGATCTGAGACAGTGATCACAACAAAAGCTGATCGAGAAAGATTAAGATGAGAAGAAGCAGTGGCAGTGAAGCTGTATAACCTTGCACTGCACCATGTGGTTTCCAGGATAGGAGAGAATCCTCCATTCCCGACTTCCAGCCTATGAAGCAGGTACCACTTACCAACCGACTTAACGGATAAGAAACCCTCGGCTCAGAAGCTAATAACTGGTCCAGCGTCAGAATCTGCGCGGCAAGGCCAAGACCCCATGCGAGTCTGTCTGATCCACAGCCTAAGGCTGGCAGCTCCACAATGGGGCCTCCCGACCTTGGGAGGAGGTGGCTCTGTGCTCTCCTTTCCAAAGCTTCACTTCTGAGGGTCTTTAACAAGACCTAGTGCCCCTAAAGCTGCTCCTTTGGGGAACCCAAAAGCAGACTGCGATTTCTCCCGCTGACAGCCTTTCCGAACTTGTCACTGCTCCATAAACTAAGTCACCACTGCACTGACCTGAGTTGGGAAGCACCGATCCTTTGCCGTTCTTCACATCCACGACCCACGTGGCTTCCTTACCCCCAGGGCCATCCTTCACCTTGAAGGCAAAAATACCACCAATTTTCTTCACAAACTGCTCACCTTCCTGGAAACAAAAATAATACTAGAAGTTACACCGAGTCCTGTCCTCTGGCTTCCTTCTCAAACAAATTAATGTTTAAACAGGTACATGATGGGAGCAGCTGGGCCAAAGGGAAGTGCCCGAGCTCCCTTAGGATCTTTTACCCAGAAAGCAGAAAGGCAACCGGGCAACAGTTCCCACACCTGCCAGATCTTCCGTTAAAATGGCCTTTTGGATGCTACCAGTAAGTAGAAGGAAAGGAAACATGGGGGTGGTGGAATGCAGCTCCAACAGCCTTCCTTTGTCTCAGGAAATTTGGGACAGATTCACTCTGACCACTCCAAATGTAAAAAGAATTCCTAACTCATCCCTTCTTTTTTGCACTCCAATGTTTAGAACTTTGGAGATGAGAAATTGGCAAAATAAAACTATATTTATTATGGAGACATAATTAGAACTTACAGTTAAGTGGTTCTGAGGTCCAAGTTTTTTATTTGGGGTGGGTGCGCTGTCAAATCATTCTCTATATTAATAAAAAGAATTACACAAGGAACACACCATCCACCACTTACGTCTGCCTGTCAGGGACGAAACTGGCCTAATACTGAGAGCAAAACCTGAATCATGTCTGCGGGGGGGGGTCCCTCTTCCCTCCCTTCCTCTTTTCTTTTGCCCTTCACCCCCACTTAGCTTCACCTTTCCTCCCTGGAACACTTCCTAAGCCAGACACTGTTCTAGGCGCCAAGGGTCTGGAAGCTGAACTCGGAAAAGTAAATGACAGCAACACTCTGCAACCCCCGTGACTGAGCACAGGCACCTTGGGAGCAGCAGGCTAGGCGGCTGATCAAAGGGTCAAAGGGCGACAGCAGTTCGCACATCTTGCTTAAAAGAATTAAAAGCAGCGTGGTAATTTTAATAAAAAGCATTTTTCTCTAGAGAAGAAGCACATTTCACAGTGGAGTGAGTAGAAAATGTTGATAAGCAAAAAATACAAATCATTCACAATTTTCCTAATTTTTCCAAAGAAAATCATATTGGGTGTAAATTTCATCGTTTTTGTGTTTTTGTTTTTGTTTTTGAGACAGGGTCTCACTATGTGGTTGAGACTGACCTGGAACTCACTATGTAGCTCAGGCTGGTCTCAAACTCAGAGCAATCCTCCTGTCTCAGCCTCCCTGAGTGCTGGGATTACCAAACTTTTGTAAAGTGGGTATACTATGTAACAATCTGTGGTGGTCCATCCCTGTAATCCCAGTAATTGGGGGGGTGGGGCAGGAGGACTGCCATGCATTGGAGGCCAGCCTGGGCTACATAGTGAATTCAAGGCCAGCCTGAACATAGCAAGACCCTGTCTACAGACAAACAAACAAACAAACAACAACCAATTTCAGCAGCAATGAATGAAGGCTCCAAATTCTCCATATCACTCGGGTCCTTGTGCTTGCAAGGCGCCATGTTTTTTAAATGCAAAAGAAATTATCTTATTTTGGTTTTCCTTAAAAGAGCTCATTCAGATTGTTTTCAGTTGACTTCAGGAAAAATTATAAACAATAATTTGGGGGAAGGCTTTAAAGTTTTCAAACACTTTTATACATGTAATTCTCTTAATTTTCATAAAGTCCCATAAACAACTGGGGAGGCATTAATATCACCTCATTAAGTAGAAATGGCAACTGAGGCTCGGAAAGGTTAAGGACCCTTCAGACTGGTTAGGAGTGTAGCCCAATGGTAGGACGGCTGCCTCTCCCTCACGTGTGCAAGGCCAATCCCCAGAACCACACACCAAAACAAAAGCTGGTGAAAGCACAAGGACCCGAGTTCGATCCCCAGTACCAAAGAAAACAAAACAAAACAGAAAAGCTTGTGACTATCCTTTTCACACCTGAATTTCATACACAGTCCACAGGATGAAGTGTGTCTTCACACAGCATTCGAGAATCTTCGTGATCTAAAAGGCACTTCTCTGTTCTCATCTCTAGCCACCTTCTCAGGCTTTATGCTCCAGTGATACTGATCAATTTGAATGCATGCATGCTGTGCTAGGTTTTCTTTTGCCTCCACACCTCACCCAGCACACCTCTTCCTCTCTGTTCCCACCCAAGCTCAGCACACAGGCTAATTCTCCTGGGGAGGCTTCTCTGCCTCAGGGAGATACATGCACCCATGTTTCTTGTTCAAGAAGCTACTTTCTTTTCTGGAAAAATTTTTCCAGATCTCTCTTCTTACTCGAGTCCATGAGGAACAAGGATTTATGGCTAATAAGCCATAAGGTAATTTGAACTTTCAAATGCAATGCTCTTTCCATCTGACTGTACCACACCACAACCGGAGGTTACATCAATACTTCAAACTGGAGTGCATCCACAGAACAGTATCTGCTGCCACAGAAAGAGTTAAAAAAGAAAGTTCAAAATCTTCTCCACAGTCCTCAAAATCTTTTCTCTTTAAGATTCTGTGGAGACACCTCATAGTGACAGGTTAACGAGGATGGTGTGCTAGGCCACCCAGGAGCCAGCACTCCTCGGGGCCAGCACTGCATGGATGAGCCTCTCCAGGTGTATCCATACTACCTGCTTGCAAAATGCCTCAGGAATACAGCTATGAGCAGGTACCAACCCGTCAGAGCAGGAGAACACCAGCCAACCTTCAGAAATCCCATCTGTGCGCTTGAAGAGAAATTCCTGCAATCGTCCACTATCCTCCCACCTACTTAAGACAGATGTAGATTAATTTACACTTGTCATTACTTCCGAGAACCAACTGGTCCTCTTACAAAATCACACCCACCAGTGAATAAAACATGTTCACTTCAAGTGGGCATGAGTGGGTAAGGAAATTCGTGAGGAGAGAGTTAAAAAGGAAAAGAAAATGGAATTGTGAAACTGGAGATCCTGAGTACTAAGAAAGTCCTAAATGCCTCCTTATGGAAGAAAAGTACTTCTTTCTGAGTAGGCAAAAAGGTCAAGGAGTAGGTCCTGTCGTAAACTTAGTAGGGACAAAAATTAAGACCGATTTCAAAGGGCAATGGAGTACTGCTAACAAAGACAACAGTGGAAATAAAATCTCTTGCCAGGCTGCCTTTGTTAATGCAGAAAATGTATGAATTGACAAAAGAATCCAAGACTTTCACTTTCTAGTGCTGCAGATATAGAAAACTGACAATCGTGGGAAGGAGGAAAGAAAAAAGGGAATAAGATTGGTGGGGGTAAGGTTATGGAGGAGAAAAGAATTAAAAATGGGAGCAAGGAGAAAGAGGCATACATTTACAAAACTGAAAGCACGCTGCAAAATAAAAACAGTAATGAATTATTCAAAGAATGCCCTATGGTCATATCCCAGACAACTTAATTTTTTTTTTAAAACAGCCGAAGGTTGAAAAAAAGTAAAAAAAAAAAAAAATCAAGCTCAGCCTTTCTAGTGGGGAGTCTGGCAAACAATTAAAATGCAAAATATATATATCTATCAACACAAAAATTCTTTCTTATTCTCTAAGCTAAGTTGATCCTAGCACAAGTACTTAAATGCAAACAGAAATTTATTGCAGCATTGTTTTACAGGCAAAATATTCATGATAGACAGCTAGCTAGTTAAATAAATTATGACACATCTGTGTCATGCACACCATGCACTGAAAAGGATGGTAGGGATTTATAGCTATAGCCAAGGAATGCACTGTAAGGAGCAAACAGCAGTGGTAAGTCAGGTAGCCTCGTGCAGGTGTGTGTCTGCAAGAAAGCAGCAAGACAGTCCCGTGGCCTGATGCCAGTGCTGACCCACCCCCACGCGTTAGCCTAGCCTCGCAGATTCTTGCGACAATCCTGAAAGTGCTGTCCTTTCCAAGGGTACATCAGCGGCTGTCACCCACAGTTTAAGAAGTCCTACCATAATTAGGAAATATGCCCCATGTTTGCTTTTCACTCTTTGACTTTTGGCATGAAAGACAAAGTGTAAATGCTCTGAGTCCTTTTGTTTATTTCAGGACACTCTGATCACTTTATCAGATAGGCAATTTGAACTAAGAGCATGGCACAATGCTGCCTTGGTCTTAAATCGAATTGAAACAATGAGGTAAATAATTTTGTCTAGGATAGTAACTCCCTTTTTGGAGTTGCTATTCGATTGCTTTAGTATGATTATTATCTATCAAGAACCAATTCTTATACATAAAAATAATCTGCATATATAGTTTAATAAAAAACTCCATGTGTATGATCTGAGTTACATAAAACTGTAAATTTAGATACAGAAAGAAATGACAGAAAGAAGGTTCACCATTGTTAACATTTTAGTGAACTCTAAATGGCAGAATGCAGGAGATACTTAAAATTTTATTTTATGTGTTTCTGTATAGTGTAAAATTTATTTAATTACCATTATATTTTACCACAACAAAATAACAAGTTAAAAACTCCTTTAAAAAAATCAAATCCAGCCAGGCAGGTGGCTCATGCCCATAATCCCAGCACTCAGGAGGCTGAGGCAGGAGGATCGCTGTGAGTTTGAGACCAGCCTAGGCTACATAGTGAGTTCCAGGGCAGTCTCAACTACATAGTGAGACCCATAAAACAAAAACAAAAAACAAAGTAATTACTTTTAAAAATCAAATACAAATTATTTCTTTTTAAAATGTTGATATCAACACATTTAAAGGCACATCTAATATTATTCTTTGGAATGATTCTAAATAAAATCTTTTTAATTTGGGAGGGAATGAGAACCCCTTTACATACCAACTTTGTCTATAATGACTATCTCTCTGACAAACAGAACTAAGAAAAGAATGACAATTTTATACAATATTTATTTTGGCTGTCTAACTCAAATCTGGAGATCTGTGCGTTCCTTAAGTGTATTCTTATCAATAGACACTGAGAAATCTAAAACACATTCAGTACCTGACAATGTGGTGTAATTTTCAACTTGAGCAACTACATGGTGATTGTAGAAACCTATGTGTGCTTCCTCTGGCCTAGGGTCTTCCCACAATATTTTATACAAATCTCACCTCTTCAAGTTTCTTCTCAATCTCCTTGAAGACAAGGTGTGCCTTAAATCCATCCCCGGTAGAGCTGGTTGGAGCAGCCTCGATCTGATTCATTCTGAAAGAACTGGGGGAAAAGATCAACTTCAAGTTACGGTGTCACAGACACTACAGATACTATGTTTTCCTATTTTTTTAAACAGCGTTTTCAAGAGTCCTAAAAATAGTGATGTAGCAACTTTTATCTAAAATCCCTAGCAAGCATATATAACACAAGCTTTTCTTCCCAATTTTTCACCAGTTACTGAGTGCTTGTTAGGTGTTAGTATTCTTGAAAATACAGTCAACCAAAGAAGCTACCTTTATGAAACTTATGAGGTATAATTGAAAAATATAGGGAATATTTTTTTTTAATTAGTAAAAGACACTTTGCCAATAATCCTCCTCAAAATACTTTCCCTCACTTTGAACACATTTATCCTATTATTCTTGCCACTTTTTCAAGCAGTTCTGGAAGTCTTCTTTCATGTCCTTATTTGCACTGTTGTGGCTGAGTCAATGTTCTGAACAAATTCAAATGTTTACCTTTCATGGTCATTTTGACTTTGGGGAAAATCCACAAGTCACTGGTACCAGAGCCAGTGCATGAGGAGGAGGATGAGGACACTGCGTCGTGTTTCTAGGAGCCTGCCTTTCCAATGGATGGCAACTGGAAAATCATTCACAATATTTCCAATCACACTTTGTACAAGAAACTCATTAAAAAAAAAAGAAGGGACGAGTATATTTGAAGTGGGGGGGTGTTTTCTGGCAATGTGATTCAACTGGAAAATCATTCACAATATTTCCAATCACACTTTGTACAAGAAACTCATTAAAAAAAAAGAAGGGACGAGTATATTTGAAGTGGGGGGGTGTTTTCTGGCAATGTGACCTCCACTGTAATAAAGTTTATTTAAACGCTCACTGTATATATATTATGATCATGCCTCAAAGATGCTAGCAGAGACAATAAGAAAAATAAAGAATATAGTTACTACAGAGAAAATAAACAGGCTAAAGAGAAAGAGACAGAATATTTTATGTGTGTTAGATACACTGTTTGACTGACTGACTGATGGGGGTTGGGAATTGTACGGCTTGCTGCATGAGGCAAGTGCTCTACCAGGGCGACACACTCCAGCCTTCTCAGTGTATTTTAGACCCCCGGAAGGTCTGTCTGGGGAGGTGATATTTAAGTTAGTCTCAAGCTGTGTAAATGAGGCAGGCCTACAAAGATTTAGGCGGGGAAACAATTCTAGCCTGAAAACCCCTAGGAATTAAAGTAGAAACTAGCAGGTAATTAAGGTAAATATAAGGCCAGTTTGGCTGGAGCAGAGGAGAAAGTCATGTCAGAGAAACACATGGGCACCTGGTGAGGGCCTTTATGATGGTCAGAAGTTTCAGTTTTAGGGTCGGGGAGGCAGCTCAATGGTACGGCCCTTACTCAGCACACATGAGGCCCTGCGACCTCAGCACCAAAATCACTCACAGAATAGTTTCTGGTTTAAGGATAACGAGAACAGTAGAGCATAATCCAATTTACATATTTCACAACCGGCTGCCAGATGGAAAATGGACTTGGGGAAAGTGGGGGAAAAGGGAGATCGGCTAAGAGGCTATTGCACCAGTCTAAGCAAGAGATGATGATAAGCAAAACAGGGTTATAAAGGAGTGGGAAGCAAGCAGAATGGACTTGAGATTTACCTTTACCTGCAACAGGACATGGGCATTTACCAAGTTGTTTGGTAGTTAGGAAACAACCACAGATAAGCACTGATAAGTGGCCCTGATATGGCAAAAGGTACAGAGAGAGCCCTCACACACAAAGGTACAGCGTCTGAGGGTTTCCTCCCCTCACAGGGGATGTAATGCTGAGAAGGTTGCTTCATCTGCAGGTACAGTTGCTTCATCCAAGGGCAAAGGTGGAGAGTGCCCACAACTTTGCAGAAGAGGCCACGAACTATGTGAAGGCACCCTGAAGAGTGCATGGCCCGTGGGTGTCAGGTGTGCACAGAAACCCCAGGGTCTGAGAAGAGGGGGGCCCCTAGGCTGCTAGACAGCTCTTCTGACCTCTGACACAATCCACTTCTCCCTTTCCATTCCTTTCCCTGTTTGTATCACTGCAGAAACATCTAGTGACTGTCTGCTGTACTGCCAACTGTCCCTGAGCATACAGTCAGACTTATCCCCTCACTGGGCTTCCATTCTTCCACTGGAGAAGAAAAAGAAGCTCATACACACAAAAATGGCAGATTGTAGCAAGTGTTGGGGTATAAATAACAAGAAGAAACTATGTAAGACAGTCATGGAATGATTTCTTGCGCAGGTAAATTAAGCTAATACCCCATTAGAGGAAGAAGGGGAGCTAGCTGTTCAAAGAGGAAACCGCCAAGATCTGAGGGAGGAAAGTGCTTGGCAGATCAAAAGAAAGTAGAATAAGACAAAGGTCATTAGAACACAGTTGGTGGGAGAGAAGGACATGAAATGAAATTGGAGGACAGGCAGGAGTGACCAGATCATTCAGGCAAACCAAGTCAGGAATCAGTCTGGGAAGCTACAGAAATGGTAGCAGGGAAAAAGTTTGACTTGTGATTATTCTTATGACAGTGTAGAGAATGATTTGGGGAGGAGGCACAGGAGAGGGGACTTAGTTCCGAGGCTGGTAGAGTGGTCTAGATAGAGGAAGTGGATTCAAAATAGAAACAGAATCCACAGGCTTTGTTGCTGGGAGTGAGGGGGATGAAAAGAGGTGAGGAAACAGCAAGGTGGATTCAGATGTTTGTGAGTAACAAGGGACAGCACTGCTCTTTCCTGTGACAAGGAAGAACGCAGCGGGAGAAGACGGGACCAGCATTCTGAGTCAGGCAGAGTCAGCATAAATGTGAGTGAAACAAGAAGGAAGCTGGATGTGAGAGCCTGGAGCTCAAAGCAGAAGTCTAATTGGAGAGGAAACAGAATGATCAGCACAATCAAAGTGCAGAAACCCCCAGGAATGGACTATACGGGAATCACAGAAAAGCACAGCCCTGAACAGTGCCCTTTGGAATCCTGTTAGACAGAGGTCTGAGACAGAAGGGGAAGCTACAGCCAGTGGGGACTCACTCGGGCAGAAACTTGGGAAGCACTTTGCATGCTGTCAGAGAAGCCCAAAGGGAAGAAAGTGCTGGAGCGAGGTGTAAACTACATCACACGCTGCCAAGAAGTTCAGCGTCTACTGGGTTTGGCAACACCGCGGATTACAGATAACCTTGACAAAGACAGTGCCCAGTGCTGGAAGGTGGAGGTCAATGACAGTCCACTAAAGAGAAAACAGGAGAGGAGACAGAGACAGTGTGGCCCTTTGGAGACTTTTCTCTCAGAGGAAGAGTGAAATAGTATGGGCTGGGAGAGAGGGGACTCTGGTAGCAAGGAAGTTTATTTGGGTTCTTTTGGAATGGGATAAAAATGACATCCTCGCCTAATCTCTTTAAGAAATGTAGCATTCCTTCTGGATTGGGTGTACAAGAGACCTGTAACTTCTCCACCTCTTTTCTAATTTTGTAATTATGTTAAAATTTATACTATACATATGTATTATAAAATTTGCATCCTAGCCATTTTAAGTATACAGTTGAGTACTATTAAATATATTCACAATGTTGTGCAACCATTACCAACATCCATCTCTATAACCATTTTCATCTTGGAAAACTGAAACTCTGTACCCACTAAACTCCCGGCCCACCCCAACCCTGGCAACCACCGTTCTGTTTGTCTCTATGATGGTGTCTACTCTGATTATGTCCATTAAAATGGAACCATACAATACTTGCCTTTTTGTGACTTGCTTATATATCACTTAATATAATGTCCCTGAGGTTCACTCATGTTGTTGCACACGTCAGAATTTTAAGGAGGGCTTGGTTTGGTTTGAAGATTAATGTATCAGAGCATGTATGCCTGATGATGGTAATGAGCCAGGAAAAGAGTTGGAAAGAGAGAAGTCTTAAGAAGATTACAGGACACAGGATCTACAACAAGGAGATCCGGAAAGAAGGGATCAGATAGATGGAAATCTATCAGTCTTGACAGCAATGATGTAGGAACTTAGGCTTAGTCTTCTATTTGCTCACAAGACATCAGGCAAAGAAATCAGCAGAATGAGAGCAAAAGGGTGGGCATGGAAAGTGTAAAAGGCTGAAAAGTGAGCCTGCTGGAGGAATCACATTAACATGAACTAGGAGTGGAACTGAAGCAGTAGGGCAGCTCTGGGGCTGATCACTCCTGTCTTGGCAAACTCTGTTTCATCCTTCAAGACTTAATCCAGAAAACTCTTCTCAAGGTCTACTTCTCAAGATCAGATATCATATTTTAACATGAACATCAAAATGCTTTGTATCCCCAGTTTCCAACTCACAACAAGCATTTAGTCTACAGTGACTAACAAACTGAAATTGCACTGAATTCTCCCTTCCTAAATCCTGATGAGTGATCTAAAACCAAGTAGTCACAACAAGGTCTCCTCCATAAACCACAAACCCACCATTTTATTAATGATCCAGTTTTAACCTTTATCATCTTTGTGCCCATCTCCTAACTTGCCACTTCTTAAATGTATAAGATAAAATAATAATTAATATGAGTAGCACTTTTTGGTGTACAAAATATCTTGATTTCTCATGTCCCAAAGGTCCCAGAGTCCTAATGTGTCCCCAAAGGTCACAGATGTCTCTTTACCTTGCTTGCTTGCTTTGAAAAACTCATGAAGTTCTTGATTAACCAATTCTTCACCTGGTTTAGGAAAAAAGTGTGTATAAAGCGCTATATTCCCTGAAAATCTTTCCTTACAATTTACTGCTGTATTTCATGTGTGTCCTGCTCAAGGGGAAACTGAACATAAAAATTTAAATTTTAAAAAAGAGATTAACACAATCACAAAAAGATATTTTTTTTTTGTCTTTGAAACAAGACCTCATTTTGTTGCCCAGGCTGTCCTCAAATTTCTGGATTCCAGTGATTCTCCTTCAATAGCCTTCTGAGTGCTAGGACTATAGGCACATGCTACTGTACCTGGTTTACTCATGATTTCTTTTTTTTTCTTTTTGG